ATCATACAAGATTCAACTCTAATTTCAATCCAGGATGTACACCAAGAGGAGCATACACATGCTTCATGTGCACATAATAGTGGGTTGTAATTATATGTAATTATAGTTTAGCTTTTGGTAATATATAGACTTTATGTAGTTGAATGACTTTTAACTTGTTGATGGTGACTGTAAACACGACAAACACATACTCTTGTGCAATGTGACTATGTGCAAATAGTTAAACTGACGGTGATCATGAAAATTTGGTGTTTGTGGGAAAATTTGTAGTAAAAAGAAATGAAGGAAAATTGATTTGTATTCCTTTAATCTCAGTTACAATTGGATTTCCTGATTACAAAAGAGAGGAGAATGATTTGGATTCTCCCCTTTGTTTAATTCTGGGTTCTTCACGGTGGCGATGGAATGCCTCCTTCGAATGCTTGCGTCGAATTTGCTCCCCGTTGACGATCTGATGTCTTGTTTTACTGGAACGTGGTCTTCTCCTCACGATTTGACATTGTGGAGAACTCTGAACGAGTTTAAAACTCTATGAAAGAGTTGATTTAACCGAAAGTCGGTTATAAGCCAAGGATGAAGAAGATCTTGTTGCTGATCTCCAAAGCTCCAACCGAAGGATGAAGGATCCTCTTTTCGCTGTCAAGAAGTTCCAACAGACCACCCCCCTGAACTGAATTGATTTTCAGTTATTTTTAGGGGATTAAGGGGTGTAACCACCTCCTTATTTCGCTCCTAAGTGGGGCTAATGGGATGTAACCGCCCCTTAAATCACTCTTGAGTAGAGTTGTGATCTCCTCAGATCATGGGAAAACGGTTTTGAAACCGTTTAGCTCGTGTTTGAACGAGTCAAACGCATGCCCGCGTTCTGGCATGAATTCTGTGTCCAAACGCAATGCCTAAAAGCTTGAACGCAGCATCTGGAAGCTCGGACGCAGCGTTTGGATGCTCATTTGCAGCGATTTAAGAGCTGCGTTTGGCAGCGGATCTGAGCTGCGTTTGGCAGCGGATCTGAGCTGCGTTTGGAGCTGGATGTGACCTACGTTTACAGCGTTTGAAGGCTGCGTTTACAGCGATTTGGAAGCTACGTTGGCGGTCGAATCTGAGCTGCGTTGGCGGCCTTTGGAGCTGCGTTTGCGGCGTTGGAACCTGCATCTGAGCTGCGTTTGCAGCTTTTGGAGCTGCGTTTGAGCTGCGTTTGCAGCTTTTGGAGCTGCGTTTGAGCTGCGTTCGTGGCTATGAACGCGGCGTATCTTGATGCTGGTACGTGGGGAGGACTTCCACATCTTGATTTGAAGAGACCGTCGACTTGTAGTCTATTTCTGTCAAAGCGTTGCAAAGATCGTCGTTTTGTAATCTTTGCTTTAGCTCTTTGATATGTGAGAGTCGTCAGACTGTAACCTTCATCAATCCACGTGAAAGTCTTCAAATTGTAGCCTTCTGGAAGTCGTCAGATTGTAACTTCCATCATCGGTGTTTGATGGGGATCAGCTATCTATTGTGATTTTTAGACAGCTGGTTATGTTCATTTTACAATGTGTATTTCTACACAACTTGTGGTTACTGATTAGTATGTTGATTGTGCAATGTGAACATGGGCTTCTAGGCATGAACTTAAACTTGTGAGTATGCTTTGTCACAGGAAAACTATATTGTACAGGTTTACTCACAAAGAAAATTCATGAAAACAGGGTATACCATGCCAAAATTTTCTCTTAAACGGTGACAGATCTTCATGTTCAATGCTTCTTCTCATTAAATTCAATAATTCATACAATTTGCTCTTAAACATTACATGTCCATGTTCATAAACAAAAAAAAAACACGTAAATAAAAACTACTACAAACAAAAGTGATATCAAACTTCCTCTCTTGAACAACATCATCCTCCTCTTCTCCAATTGAAGCAAACCCTCTAATCTGAATCTCACATCTGTCAATTTTGATATTTCTTCCATAGAGCAAGCGTTCTCATCACATAAAACCTGGAGCTAGTCTCTAAACTTGGCATTTTCAACATGGCAAGCCTTCACTTCAGCCTCAACTCTTTGAATCTGCCTATCACCGAGCTTCAAGTCACTCCTCAAGTTAAGTATTTTATCTCGTAGAATAGGAAATAGAGTAGAAGACACATTGCACACATATTTATCAAACCATTCCCACATTCCACAGCCACCATTAGGATTCTAACATTTATAAAACCTTCTCCCAGGATTTTTATCTGTAAATGATGTATAATACCCACAATCCATTCCACACTTACAAATTTTCATGATAACCATCCTTGCTTCCTCATTCCACCTTCTAATACTTGTCAAAGCATTCAAACCATGATTAATACTTACATGCGATCCCAATTTTCCACTGACCCTACTTGCTTTAGAATGAGATTTTGAACTTGATGACGATGACATAATATCTTCTCTTCCACGCTCAATCTCAGCTTGAATGCCCCAATTTGATAAACACTAGTTTCCAATCTCACCCAATCTCAGCTTGAATCCCCTCTTTTATTCTCCCAACTGTTTTTTCCACGTCAGAAAATCTGTGCCACATCAGCAGCTAAAAAACAGTTTAAGTTATCACGTACCACGCACGTGATGAACTCTCGCCGGAAAACTGGTTGCCGACGAGAAAAGAGTCTTGTTGGTAAGTTGAATCAATTAAAATGCCTTAAAATATGTTTGCCTAATTAAAATACCTTCTTGGTAAATAGGGTGGAATTAAAATACCAATATGAGTATTTAGCCTATATATATATATA